GGGGGAAAAAAAAAAAAAAAAAAAAAAAAAAGGAAGAAACCAGGGATTTTCTGGCCTGCTCCCCAGCACAGCCAGGGCCCGGCGGGCCTCACCTTTCTTCCGCCCGATGGTCCACTCTCTCTTCAGCAGGAAGACGTGGGGCTCGGCGTGCTCCGCGCCCAGCCGCACCAGCCTCCCCCAGGGCCGCGGCTGGCTCCGGCCTCCCGCTTCCGAGGCCTCCATCCGCGCTCACATCTGCCCCCCCGGAAAAACAAAGATCAGGCACGTGGGGGAGGGTCTCCGGCGGCCGCCCGGCTCCACTCACCCCCGCCGCATCCCCCGGGTCCCCGGCTCCCCGCCTCCCCACCCCGGGCCTGGGCAGGGTGCCGCACCCCTCCCCCGCCGAGCCCCACACCCAGTCCCGCCGCGGAGGCTGCTCCTGTCAACAGGCATTGCCAGCCATCAGCTGATGCGACCGGGGCCGGGCCGTGCGCCCCCCCACGCCTGCCATTGGCGCCGGCAGCCGGTAACCATAGCGAGCCACGGGGGGCGAGGCCTGCAAGACAGGGCTTCCGCTCCCGCCCCGCCACCATCTTGGACCCGGGCACGCAAGCCGGAAGCAGCGGCGGCGCGTCAGGGGAAAGGCCCTTTGGTGGCCATCTTGGAGGCGGGCAGGCGAGGAAAGAGGGAGGGGGGCATCTTGAAAGCGGGCAGTCTGCCGCCATCTTTGTTAAGGGCAAAAGGCTTGTCTTCCTTCTTTCTTAACTCCCACTGCCCCATCTTTGTTAAGGGCAAAAGGCTTTTCTTTCTTTTTTTTTTAACTCCGCCCGCTTGAGAGCACTCATTGCCTCTGTTTTGTCAAGTGCTGGGCGTCAGCTCACTTAGTTATGGCGAAGTCAGAAGCACAGGCCTGAGGCTGGGCTTTGCAGATGCCCCCAGCCCCCGCTGGTACTACAGGTGTGTGGGCCTGAGCCGCCCTCAGAGGCGCTGGGTGCAGCCAGGGATGGGGACGGGTACTGGGCTGAGCCAATGCTCCTGCTGGGCACAAAGCTGGAGGTTCCTGGCTGGGGGGGTCCTGCCCTGGCGCAGGGTCAGACTGACAGCTGGATTTGGGGTCAGGAAGGAATTTTACACCGTCGTCAGGCTGGTGCAGATCGGGGGCTTCTGCTTTCCTCTGCCATGTCGACCCAGGATTTCATAGACTTCATAGACATTTGGGCTGGAAGGGACCCCAGAGGATCATCAAGTCCAGCTCCTGCCCCAGGGGCAGGAAGTCAGCAGGGATCATAGGATGTCTTGAGCAAATACTAACAACGCACATAGAAGCGGGACGCCAGCTGCCACGCTTCCCTGCCGTCCCTGCGGCAGGTCAGGGTCCCAGGACCGTGTTGTGTCAGGGGTGATGGTCGTCTTGTGCAGCGTTTAGATGGTGGTTTGTATGGGATGGTTTGGGTAGGGAGGACCTTCAGGGGGTTGGACTAGATGTGATCTCTGCAAGTCCCTTCCAGCCCTGCGTCACTGCGATCAACCCGTCACGCTCAGGAGAACATCAGAATTGCCATTTACAGGGCCAGACCGTACGTACCTCTTGCCCCGTCTCCCGTCACACTATGGCCGAGAGCAGCTGCTGAAAGGGAAAGTGAACTGGATCTGGGCAGGGTTGTTTCCACTGTTCCTCTCTCACTTGAAGCCTCCAGCATTTACGGTCTAGGACACAGGCAACTGGTGCCTCCCGAGTCTGGGGGAGCACCACATTGCTGACCGGGGGGGGCACTTCCAGGGGGGAAGTGCACTTCCACCAGCACTTCCAGTTTCATGGCTGGCACTTCCAAGGGGTGCACAGCCGATCTCAGGGGGTACACGTGCACCCATATGCACCCCCTATGCATCGCCAATGGTCTAGGAAGTTCTGATTCAGAGGCCGTATCCCTAATTCCCATGTTCAGTAGTTACCAATGCCCCTTTCCTCTGAGAAGGTGTCCAATCCCTTTTTGAAGGTAGCTAAATTTTCAGCTTCTACAACATCTGGTGGTGATGAGTTCCACACTTGAATGATACACTGTGAAAATGAACCCTTGCTCCCTTCCCAGTTTTCTTTTTATTTGTCCTAAACAATTCATTGTTGTGTCCCCAGTAGACTTCCTCATTAAGGGAGATTATCATTTATTTGGTAGACCTTGGCCTATGATTCCTTTGGCACATCAACTAGGCCTCTGTCACAACCCCAGTGACTGTGGGACTGGATTCCTATGACTCTTCCACTCACATCTTCAGGCAGAGTTTCACTGGACAGTGTCCACTGGATCCTTGGACTTGTTCAGAGGTCAGTGGGAGCTGGCCAATGTGCTCTGCTCACTGTTCCCCCACCCTTGGATCACCTGTTATTAACCTCTGACCCTCACTTCTGTCCCTGTTACTGCTTCAGTTGTCCCAAGAACTATTAGTGCACACTAAATAGCCCCTCTAAAAATGGAGGGGACTGACTGTGGGTCTATGCTCATGGGTCTTTGTGTACTAAATAGAACTGTGCCACACAACTCTTTGAGCCACACTCCTGTCCTGTTTTCACTCTGTTGTCGCATCCTCAGTTGTCTCCCTAATTAAGGGAGAGTTAACTTTTTTCTGGTGGACCTAGCCTGCCATTAAAATGGCACAACAAATAGGCCTATGTCACAGCAGCAGAGACTGGATGCTGAACGGGACAATGAACAGGGTACGACTGGGCTTTTTTTGCCTTGTTCCTCTCTTACTTGCATCCTCCATTGTTTAAGGTCTAGGAAATTCTGATCGGAGGCTATGACCCAAACTCCTGTGCATAATAGCCACAGATACACCTTTCCTCTAAGACAAGAATTTTTCCAATGCCGTTTTGATTCTTGCATTTACAAATCTGGCTTCATTCAGATAGGGAAGCAGGGCGGGAAGCAGTTCCTTACTGAGAAGGCAAGACCCTACTGCCAGGGTAGTGCAGCTTGCTGACTTCTCCAGAGCTCCAGGCCCCAGCCCACTGGAGAAGCATTTTGGCCACCAGGATCCTCAGGAACCTGGCTTGCAGGTTTCCCTGTAGATGGTAGAAATTAGCCTTGACTTTGAAACCAGCCAGTGTCCTTTGTCAGAGCAGCTTTGTCAGACCAGTTTTGCTTTGTGGGCTGGGCAGATCCAGGTAGAAATATGTTTCATCAGGATTTGTTTGGTTATTTATTTATTGATTGGGGGATGCACTGCCAAGGGCTCATAGGAGGCTGTGAGGACTCCTATGCGAGGCTCATAGGAGTTCACAGCTTTTGCCTGCAGGGGTTGTCCTTTGGCTTTCAAGGCATTAAGGAGTGCAGGGTTAGACTCCAGTGTTGCAGTGCAGGCTCTGGCTGTGATCCTCCACATAGCCTCCCCTTTACAATTATCCGTATACAGGTTTCCCTCGCTTTATGCAGGTTCTGTATGTGCAAATTCGCTCTTATACAATGACCCTATTTATACCAAAAATTTGTTATATGCAAGGTAAATTCACTCTTATGAGACCAGTGTGGTGGAAGCCTGCAGTCAGCTGCTTTGTGCAGTGCATTGTGGGAGAGATGCCATAGACAGAGGAAGAAAACATTATTTTGGGGGGCTGAACCAGGTGGTGTTGCCCAAGTTGGGCTGCAGCACCAGCCCCTGCAATCTGGCCCCATCTGTGCAGCGCCCTGGGAACTGAGCCATGAAGTTGCCCAGCAGCAGCAGCAGCACCTGTAGCTGCTGCTCAGGGCAGCTGGTGCCTGTGCTTCTGGAGCTGCAGCTGCCCAAAAAGCAGCATGACGTCACGTCAGTATAGTTGAGGGGGTCAGTACAGTCGAGGTCTTGGAGCATACGCCTATTTGTTACATTGTAAAGTGGGTTCCCTTTATGCGAATTCAAGTTATCTTCCATTTCCCAGGAAAGCATGTACAGCATAAAGCGAGGGAAACTTGTACAGGACACAGTCTTGGACCTTCTGCTAAGTACTTTGACTCTCATATGCATTTAGAGTTGGCCCTTTAGAGAGTCATTTGGAGTTTTGGGGTAAGCAAGGAATCCTGAATGGGGTCTTTCATGTAATAGGGACTGAGCTTGTGAGGTGCTGTACCTCATTGAAAATGCCCTGAGCGATCATAATAGAAGCACCTCTTTCTCAAGATTGTGGCAGGTTTGGCCCTTGTACATTGTACGTATCCAACACTTCTATTGACAGTGTGTTGATCCCATTGGCTGGATCTCAGTATAGGATCACAGTGAATACAAGAGGACTTCAGTGAGACTTTCCATTTGTTTTTGAGTGTTCATATTCTAGAGTTGTAGGCTTCATTTGAAAGTACAGACCATTCTGTAAGTAAAACCATTACTCAAAACTGAGCCTCTCTCTCTTAGGTAAGTGAGGAAATGAGGTGATAATTGTATGCCAGCTTTCCATGTTTATGTAAGAAATACTTTAAGTAATAATTTAGTCACAGTGGCTTTTGCAGCTGAGCTATTCAGTATGCCGTTTTTTTCCCATATAAATCTAAATTACAGTATCCCTCAAGGTTTCAAGGAAGGGGGTACTTTGATAAAGTTAATGTTGTTTGTCCTTTGCAGCCAAAGATGACCATATCCAGTGCGGGGGGGCAGGGAGGGGAAGAGAAGAGAGAAAAGTAGTAAGAAAGAAACTGGGAGGGAGAAAAGAGAAAAAGAGAAAAAAAGGAAGAAAGAGAAAAGAGAGAGAGGAAAGAGAATGGAGAGGGGTGCGGGGTAGGTTGTGTAGGTACGTAGGTGATTTATAAGCCTGACCTTTGCCTTGAACAATCTGCTGCAGATTTTCTTTGGCAGGCGAGTGCCAGGCGTTCTTAGGTGCACCAGTTTCAGTAGAGTATGAATACTGAGGAGAGATGATCTTCCAAGCACCTTGGTGTCCTGAATCTTGCCCTGCCACTTGATCTTTACTATCTTTCGCAGGCAGCACAGGTGGAAGTGATTTAGTTTCTTAACACAACGCTGGTAGACAGTCCAGGTTTCGCAGGGGTAAAGGAAGTTCGGGAGAATGATGGCTTTGTAGACCTTCAGTTTCATCGACATTCCAATGCCTCTGTGGTCCCAGACCAACTTAGAGCCTGCCGAAGGCCACACTAGCTTTCACTGATCTCATGTTGACTTTGTCATCAGTGTGGACAGCATGGGAGAGTGTGCTGCCTAGATAGACGAACTTCTTAACCATCGACAGTTGTTGGCCTTTAACTGAGATGTGTGGTTCCTCGGGTGTTGTGCCAGGTGCGGGTTGAAACATCACTTCGGTCTTCTTCGTGTTAACAGTGAGTCCAAAGTTGTTGCAGGCTGATGAGAATAGGTCCATGGACCGTTGCACATTAGCTTGTGAGCCTGCGTATAACACAGTCATCAGTGAAGAGGAAATTGCGAAGCATGGCTGTCTGGATTTTGGAGCTTGCTCAGAGCCTGCACAGGTTGAAGATGTCTCGTTCAAAATGATACCTGATCCCCACACCAAGGTCATTGTCTTGGAAG